CCCAATATCTCTATGTAACCATATCTGCGGGGAGTGATGAGGTTGGAGCCTAGACGCCAAAATCTAAATATGCTGTACTGCAGTAATAAACATTACAAACGTGAGTTGGCTGACTGAACTGAATCAGTGTGCAAGGTTTCTATGCGTAAACAATTTTAATTGAACAACAGATTTAAAAAACGCATATGAAAAATATGGACTTGGTGTGCAAAGGCCTTTACTCTAATGCAGATTTTGGAGGCATCTGCAGAACAATTCAGCAAAATACAACTGAAATTGAAGTGCATGTGGAAAAAAGTACATGAAGCATTTTCCTTTTTCTTTTCACTTGCTTTGTTTTTTATTCTATCTATATTATTCTTTGACCTTCATAGCCCAGTACCATCATCATGCATAAAGGCTAAAAACAGGTCTGAAATCAGAGAACCTGGAATCCACTATTGTTTTTAATTAACATCCTGTTGAAAGACTGGGTCAGAACATTATGAATTAACTGTGAAATTGTGTGGTACAGCTAATGAATGCCTCTGGAACAGACACAAATAGACTAATGGCAGTGAGCAGGAAGCTCCTTTAACAGCAGGCCAAACTCTTCTTGTTTTTGACACCTTGGACCCAATATTATATATATATAGAATACAAATACAACAGACTTTGTGTCGGCTTCAGAGGGTGAATTACATTCACAAAACAATCCTTACTAATAAAGCCCCACTGTTGTATGTCTTCACTTAAATTACTGATTTAATGCTCCATGTTGGGTTGTGCTTTTGTGTTTATGAACATTAAAAAGCCAGTATTCAGCTTTGGCCGTACATTACCATCTGTGAAAGCCAACAACAATTCTCCCATTTCACTTGCTACATCTCTTGTGTGAGGCTGAGAACACTGGACTACTTCAGTGATGCTAAAACAAAATCCTTATTATCGCAGACAGAAATATTGTCAGTGTTACACACATTCAAGTGTCTCAGCACTCCATAATTATGAGTAGGGGGGGCATAAAAAAGGCCTTCTTTACTATCAGCAACATGTCAGTATCAATCGCTCTCTCTTCCTGCACAACTGAATTTAATGGCTCACATGAAATCTCCTCTCAGCTGTATAGTTCACTGCCTCTGTGTGTGTGTGTGTGTGTGTGGCTGTTTGGATTTTCCACCACATCTGTGAGAGACTGATAAGGACTGAAAGAGGCAATGACAGCCTGGTTACATAAATCAGAGTGGGCTGAGCGCTTTAGGCCTGCGTGTATGTGTATATGTATAGGAAGATGCATTTACTGTACTGCGGGACTACACACTGATTTGTCAGCATCGTTGCAGAGCTGGGAAATGAAAAGGGATGAGAGAAAAAGTGAGAAAACCACTGCTGATAAACGTGTCATGTGAGCAGTGTGCTGATACAGTTTGGTCTTTATCAAAGAGAGCATCACACTGTGACAAGTCTGGAGTCGGTGACGTAAGAGAAAATATGGACATAAAATAAATGTGTCCTTTTGTTCTGAGAGTGTGTGAGAGATTAGGCCTGACTTTGATCTTTAAAGTCCACATGAAACAGAAAGCAGAGTGTGATTTGCTTCCGTATATATTATTTACATATCTCCTATAAAAATTGGCAGCTAGGGAGGGACTTGTCGTGGCAGTCAATAGTGCTGTGTGTTACGTCCTCTAGTCAAGCAGTTAGCAGACTTTGCCAGATCGGGACTGAATCCAGAATCTGATCCCGACTGAATGAGGTGTATTAAGGTGTTTTTTTTGCTGGGTTTGGCTCGTGGCACCCAGGGCTGAGTCAACTAATGTTAGCTGCACTAACTAACTAGCTAACGGCTCTGTATCGCTAAAGGTTGGAGATTGATTAAGGGGTGAATGTCACCAATGTGACTGCTTTGTTCATGCTTACATAAGCATGCGTCGGCCTTGTGGAGCTTGAGGGCAATCGAGAAAATGGAGAACTTTGCGATGCCAAAAAGGTTAGACAATTTGCAGTAACACGCCCGGTTGCCAGCCAATACAACCCAACTCCTATGCGCGATGAGATCCTACAAAGTTTCTGAATAAAGTAGGGTCTCTCCCAGTGCGCCAGAGCGATCGGCAGGAGTCATATTCCTGTAATTGACCCTGAAGACAATTATGTTGATTACTTCAATTGTAAAATATGGTATTTGGTTCTTCTGCGGGGGGTTGTAGATCATCGGTTTTGGTAAACCTATAATGAAATAATCTTTAGTCTACTTTAGTCTACTCTATCCAGCCCTGCCTGTCACTCAAACAAATCTCTGAACATAATCTATGCAGCCATTACGTTGTCTAACTAATGAAAACAATTTAGTAGGCCTAAATGTAATTTCTGGTGGACAGGATTGGTAGTCTTGAGTAACACCCTTCCATACAACTGGCCAAACATTACAGAAGCAACAGTAAATACAACCCTTCTGAAACAATTTGAACAGTAAAATACAACTCAACAAGTATAACAAATTAAAAATAGAACAATGCCAATTTGTATTAATACAACTATATAAACAAATATTCTTATATTCATTTTTTTTTTTTTAATCATTTATGGAGCGAAGACCTCGTCACCATCATCCCCGGCCTGCCCTCAACCTCCATTGCTCCCAGAACACTGACAGTTTCACTCTTGATGACCTCATACAGGAAGGAAACTGACATTAGAACTCAGAGCCTGGTATTTGGGGCATGAGGTGATGGAGTGTAGCTCTGTCTCTACCTGTCCTCTGTCACTTTCTCTGAAGCTGTCCATGGTTCTGAAAACACACTAATCTGACTTTAATCTCATACAATTTATATCCTGTGCCAAATGAAACCTGAACGAGAAAGACAACATATTGGTGTTAATTAAGTCCATAGTATAAGCAATATCTTCCTTAAATTGAAAACTGACCTCCATTGACGGGGGCAGAGGAATCTTTCTGCCTCCACCCTCAGTGCCTCAGGGACGTTGACAGGAGCTGCCTTAAAGAATATTGTGTTGCTGGTAATGTTATTGACAAATGGAGGGGTCTCTCCTCTTAAAGAATAATAAAAAATAATATAGAGTATATGTTTGATTTTTGTGACGGATTCTCCACAAATGACCGTGTTGGTCTTTGACAGTGAGGCATGTGCCTGCCCATTTTTCTCCAACTGCCACGACAGAACTCTAGGTTGCTCTTTTTTTGGCAATTGCAAACAAACTTAAGGGCGTCTGTGGCCTGCTTCCAAGTGCTAACAAGTAAAAGTCCTGCATTAAAAATACAAACATACAAGCTTGAAAACATAGGCCTTACTTAAAGTACCAAAAGTAAAAGTATTTATTGTGAAGAAGAATTTATATTAATAACATCAAATAATTATAACTTATATATGTATATTATATTAATAATATATATTTTTCTAATTATTGATACCTTAATGTGTTCATCAGTTTAATGTTGCAGCTGGTTAAGCTGGAGTTCATTTTAATTACTTTATATACTGCTGGGTAGATTATGAATTTCATCTAAGGATCAAAAAAGTTTTATATTTATAATAATACATCATTTATTTGTTGAGTAGATTTTGTATTCATATTTAACATATTTTACAGATATTGAAACTACTCTATGTATATACTGATTTGATAATGTATTTATTCGATATATTGATTGATAGGTCACTAAAATACGTATTGCTGCTGCCCTGTCCACAGCAGTAAATCACCTAGCTTCTCTGCTGGTATGACTCCTGTCTTCTCAAAACTTGGGGCATAGCTAGCGACCGCCATCTACTGTAGGTTATATACTGACTATGGATGAGTACCTCCGACCACACTTCAAAAAATCTGAACTATCCCTTTAAACACTTATTAGTCATTTTCACACCAGTCTCTATACAGTAGCTGTCTATCTATCTAGTGAAGAGGTCGGTCCTATACACAAATCCGGGGAAGCTACAGCATATTCGTGTATGAATGCAAGCTGTCCTAAGAGGTGCACAATGTTCTACTTTTCTCTTTACTTTCTATGTAACGTTACTTTTGCAACAATGTCTAAGAAATGGGGAAGAAGCTGTGCAGGTATCAGCTGCTCCAACAGTAGCGGCAAAATTCCACTTTGGAAAAAAACTGAATGTGAAACACAAGCCTGTGCTTCATGGAGAGTGGTCCTGGCTGAGACCATACACTTTACACAGATTCCCTGGGTGTACAGAGGACCAAGAGGTCCACATGCCAGCCCGGGAAAACATGAATTTGTATTTATACGTTTTACTAATATAACTGGTCTGTGATAATTAAAATGAAACTCTTGATGGATTATGCTGGATAGCTATTAAAGTAGTGTTACACAGTACATCACTTGAAATGTGGCGGATGGTCAAGTGGTCAGTTTTTTCTCTATTTTTCCATTCTCTGTTTCTGGCTGTCAGTATTTGCAACTTTGATCAGAGGATGAACAGAACTATCCGTCACATTAAAGAGCAAAAAAATATCATGAGAGTAAAATGTGGGAACAAGAATCAGGTAAACTTGTGTTCTCTCCTCTCCAAGTTTGATGTAAGTAAAGGCAGCTGCTGGACAGTGCTGCCCTTTGTCTGTCTGTGTCTTCCAGGGCTGTTCTCTGACTTTGTGAGAGCAAAACACACCTATTTGATAAACAGCAACTGCGTCTCAGAAAAGATAGCAGTGGCTGTATCCAGGATATTTTGGCTTTATTTTTGTACAGTGAGAGGAAGTGGAGATGCAACGTCCATCTTTTATTTGTTGGTGACTGGTGGTGTCAGCACCAGGAGGGCCTGATGCAGCTGTTTTGACATAAAGGTGCAGCAATAGCCTGTAGGCTTTTGTTTACATTGTATAGACAAAGCTAATTGTATAATATTTTAGGACTGGTCTAATTACCAGGCAGCAGAGCCAAAGCTGTTTTTGGGGGGGGAAATTATTTTCTACATATTATATTTTTCTACAATGTTAATGTTGATATTCACTTATCTTAAGATTCTATAGAAATGTTCTATTCAATAAATATACCTCATTCTGCTTTATATAGGGCCACTAATTCTTACAACAGACAGAGCAAACTGTTCTAATTTGGAGAGGATTGCAGTGGGAGCACTGGGGTGTAAGGTTTGACTGTGGCTACAGGAAATGGTTTACATGGCTTATGGGTCAGGTAGGAGGGCCCCTTAGCCCAGTTTTGCTTAGGGCCCCTCGCTGTAAATCAGTCAGAACTTTGTTGTAGTATGGGTTATTTAAATACATATAGCAAAAAAAGCAGTGCTGTAAATGAGCTGATATTACTGCAAATGTGAAATGGTTTTTCTCCTACCATACTGTAAAAATAAAGATAATCAGGTCTTTCTGTTGGCAACCTTTGTGTTTGTCTGTTAGGATTCCTCACAGGTCAAAGTTTAGACTGTTGTCACTATGTATGCTTTATGTATGTGTCTGACCTGGATGCTCGGAACACCTGCTGATGGGGAACATTGCAGGTGAGGACAGCCCAGCTCCTTAGATACATTAGACCAATCAGCTTCAGCACATTGAAGGCAGGAAGACAGGGAGAGAAAAAAGCTCCCATCCTGGAGGAAAGAAAGAGAAAAGTCAGTCACACACACACACACACACACAGCCACGGGTCACAGCCCATATAAAAGACATTACATCCGAGTCTCATAGTTTCACTTCATTATGTTCATTGCTGCAAGGCGACATCTCTGAAATGAGCTGAGGAAATGGAGTTGATCCAGCCACAGAGGTGTAATGGACAGATTACAGAGGGCCACAGTCCTTTAAACAGGGTCATGGAGAGACTGGTCAGCACCAGCCAGGCTATTAACTCTGAATTAGATCCTCTATTACACACACGGTGGCAAGGCCAAGGTGATACAGCGGAATCAGAAAGATACCCTCAGTGTTTCATTTTTCCGTCAGTTATTTTAGACACAGACTCACCAGATCATTCCTTGGTTATAAATCAGATGCAGAACATTCTCTGCTATTTTGAACTCTCCATATTCAGGCTGCAAAAAGACAGAAAAATCATTAATGTGGTGTTGTTTATGATATTTTCCCTCTTATTCTCCTCATGGACATTAAAGTAGGAAATATCTTGTGTCCAGCAGTTAAAATTTTTATTAGGAAGGAAGAGCAGATTTAATTTTAAAGTCACTTTGAGGTCAAAATTGATGTTTAAGTGTTTTTTTTTCTTTTTATCACATATGTCTAGTGCTATAAGTCATCTACGTATACTCCAGTATCTGGCCAACAATAACAAATGTTGTGTTTCTGAGTGCCCATTTAATACATACATCTATGGCGGGGCCTCAATGATTACTTTACTCACTGATTTTGGTGAAACTAGATCATATTTTATGGATACAAATATTTTTTTCTGCTTTTCCCTTTGATTACATTCAGCCCTTAATAAATGTTCTGAAACCTCCGAGACAGACTAACTTGTGATTGACAGGTCATTCTCAGTGAGTCTGTCCAGTGCAGCGCACCAAACTCAGATCAAACTGTCAAATTAGGCAGTGCTGATCAGATATGGATCCAGATTCTGTTCCTGCGTTGGCTATTTCTCTCCCCAAATCTGCTCACAAACACATTTTACTGTTTTTCTGGAATACCAGATCCTGACCAGGCAAGCCGCCATTGTTTTCTGCTATGGACGAGTTGAAACTGCGCAGCCAATGAGAGCAGCTCAACTGTCATGGTGACGACCATAATGTCTCTACAAACCAATGGGTGATGTGGCAATAGGTTTACACTTGATCTATATTCTGTTATTGTTATTTGAGTCCTCTGTTGCTTTCATTAAACTGCTGGTGTAATACAGAATTAATGTTATCCAGTGAGACCTTCCATGCTCTTGCCCTTCAGCTGTTACTAAATTACCATTCCCAGTGCTCGTCTCAGAAAAAGCTCTGAATATAATAGTTGACCAGCCAGGTTTGTTCTAGTGGAAGAAAAACAATCTGAACACTGTGTAATACAACAAATATCCGAACAAACCTGTCAGATATAGCCTGTGATACAGATGATATTCCCTGACTTGCCTCCTAAATCTGTGAAACCCCCGACCTTCGGTGTCTTCAGAACAACCCATGCAAATTCCCTCGCTATTCCAGAAATCTCCTCCCAGGAGGAAACCTGCCAAATATTCGGCTCGAAATCCACCTCAGACAACAAACACAGACAGTTTTGATGGTTGTCCCGCAGACAACATCTCCCCATTAGCAGCCGGGTGTGAAAGTTTCACCCTCTCTTCCTCCATCACGCTGTTTTTATTCATCTATTGAGACGGCCAGCAGCATCCAAACCGTTTTCACACATATGATTACTCTCGCAGCTTCAGAGCGATGGTGTGGCGAGGATGACAGAGGCTTTTGTAAAAGGTGGGAAGCAAGGTTGGATGGGGGAAAAGCTGTGTTTGGCCTGAGCAGGCGAGTGATGGCCGCAGAAAACAGCTCATTATTCTGAAATAAAAATCACCAGCAAAACTTATTGTTTTTTAGATCTTATTGGTCACCATTACACAGAATAGTTTTCTTCACTTCCTCTCCCCTCACTGCTCTGCACTGCAAACAGAAAGTTACCCGCAAGGAGACGAGGCGAGAAAAAGGAGGCTGTTATGGACGGCTCCTTTGGTCCTCCGTCAACAAAAACTGGATGTCTGCTCATTTTTGGGCAGCCCAGGTAGAACTGATGAAGCCCGCAGTGCAACTCTCAAACTACCAATCAGAGTTTTGCAGAATGCAGCAGTTTCCCTCATACCTAAATTGCGGAAATATGTTGTTTGTCAGTGCCTTCCAAAACAACCATGTCTCCTAGAAATTGCACTTATGTACAGTACCATTAAAAAAAAAACTACTTTTTGGATTAACATGATTCTACTTGAATTGCATTTTTTATCAACATAATGAAAAAAGGATTGCGATGCAGCTGGACTCGCAAGATTATGAAATTACATAAGAATCTTGCCAGGCTTCAATCTATGCTTATGTGGCCAATCAGCGTCCTCTGAGGAAGTACTGGCTGTAACGAACACAAACAGACAATGGTGAAGCTTACTGATGTTTTTAGAAGAGTTTATTTATGTTCAGCCGTAAGCCTTTTATTGAACATTATTCTTCCCTTTCCTTTCCTCATAAAACAGTGTAAGAGCTACAGCACAGATAAATTACATAAATTAGGTCCCTTCTTATTAACAAAACATTTCTGTCTCCCATTAAACAAATGAGCATTAACTAAAACTGACATAACCTTAACTGTCTGCATGTTTGACATATAGCTTAAAGCATATGCATAAACAAATGGAAAGTTAGCATTACTGTGACCTTTCATTCATTCAAATCAACTGTTCATTAAACTAAACTAGTGGCTCCCATAGATGTTAGCGTAGAGTTTCCAACAACAACTTCCCAGATGGTTATGTGTAACAAACC